GTGGACAGGTGCGGGGAGGTGGACAAGTGGGGAGGGTGAGGCAAAGGAGAAAGATGGCAGGGTCCTGTGGTCCCTTCCAGATCTGCTGCCCATGGAAGTCCCTTCTGGCTTTGGAGCCCGTGTTGCTCTTATGCTCACAAGTCTCCTTGAAGCCCCACTCTCTGATTCAGTCCCTCCATGCAGGTCCCTTTGATCCCTTCTCCCAGCTCTGTCAACGAGTGGGCAGTAAGGGGTCTGATTGCTCCTCCATGTCCTGGATTGTCCTGGTATTAAAACTAAAAGTCCTAGGCCGGGCGCGGTGGCTCATGCCTGTAATATCAGCACTTTGGGAGGCCGAGGTGGGCGGATCACCTGAGGTCAGGAGTTCGAGACCAGCCTGGCCAACATGGCGAAACCCCATCTCTACTAAAAATACAAAACTAGCTGGGCGTGGTGGTGTATGCCTGTAGTCCTAGCTACTCAGGAGGCTGAGGCAGAATTGTTTGAACCTGGGAGGTGGAGGTTGCAGTGAGCTGAGATTACACTACTGCACACCACCTGGACGACAGAACGAGACTCTGTCTCAAAAAAAAAATAAGCCGGGCATAGTGGCTCATGCCTGTAATCCCAGCACTTTGGGAGGCCAAGGTGGATGGATCACCTGAGGTCAGGAGTTTGAGACCAGCCTGGCCAAGATGGTGAAACCCAGTCTCTACTAAAAAATACAAAAATTAGCCGGGCATGGTGGTGGGCGCCTGTAATCCCAGCTACTTGGGAAGCTGAGGCAGGAGAATCACTTGAACCCGGGAGGCAGAGGTTGCAGTGTGCTGACATTGCACCATTGCACTCCAGCCTGGGCCACAGAGTGAGACTCCATCTCAAAAAAAGAAAAGAAAAGAGACACAGAGACAAAGTATAGAGAAAGAAGAGTGGGCCCAGGGGACTGGCACACTCAGCATGCGAGGACCTGTACCAGCCCCGGTCTCTGAGTTCCCTCGGTATTCTCTGATCATTATTTTTACTCTTGGTGAGGGGAGTGTAGCAGGGCAACAGGTGGGGAGAAGGTCAGCAGGGAAGCGTGAGCAAAGGAATCTGTATCATGAATGAGTTCAAGGAAAGGTACTGTGCGTGGATATGCACATAGGCCAGATTTATGTTTCACATTACACAAACATCTCAAACATCTCAGTGTAGCAAAGAGTGACAGAGCAGTATTACTGCCAGCATATCTCGCCTCTAGCCACAGGGCAGTTTCCTCCTATCTCAGAATAGAACGAATGGGAACGGTCAGCTTTACACCGAGACATTCCATTCCCAGGGATGAGCAGAAGACAGAAGCCTTCCTCTTATCTCAACTGCCAAGAGTCCTCCCTGTTCACTCCTCCTCAGTACAGACTCTTTATGGCTGTCGGGTTGGGGGATGGTAAGATCTTTCCTTTCCCACAAGGCCATATCTCAGGCTGTCTCAGTGGGGGAAACCTTGGACAATACGCAGGCTTTCTTGGGCAGAGGTCCCTGCGGCTTTCTGCAGTGCACTGTGTCCCTGGTTAATTGAGAATGGAGAATGGCGATGACTTTTACCAAGCATACTGCCTGCAAACATATTGTTAACAAGGCATACCCTGCACAGCCCTAAATCCATTAAACTTTGATTCAATCCAGCACACGTTTCTGTGAGCACAGGGTTGGGGCTAAAGTTACAGATTAACAGCATCTCAAAGCAGAACAATTTTTCTTAGTAGAGATCAAACTGGAGTTTCTTATGTCGTCCTTTTCTACATAGACACAGTAACAAGCTGATCTTTCTTTTCCCCACAAAAAGTTGTGCACCCAGAAACCCCCAGATGGGCAAGGGAGATTGGTCATGGTGCAGGCTCACCCTGGAGCCGAGTGATGGTCTTCAGCTCCTGGGTCTGCTCCTCCACGTCTGTCTTGCTGTGCCTCCTCATGGCTTCCCTCTGGCCCCCCCAGGGACCCTGTGTGCCTCAAAGCTTCCCTGGGCTCAGCTGGCTCAGAGCTGCCACTCAGCTTGTCCCCAGAACCTCAGCCCATTATGATGAGAGCCAGGATTCCCAGTGCCTGGGCAACCCTGGAATTGCAGGGCCTCCCTGCCCCATTCTGCCCCCAGCCACCTTGGGGTGGTCTCCAGACGTGTGTCCTAATTGAAACGGGTCTCCTGGCAGCTGCTTGAGGTTTAGCTCTGCCGGGCGGATGTGCACCAGCACCCCACACTTGCACTGGGTTTCCTCCCTGGCCCCTCCCATGCCCCAAGCCATCCTCCACAAAGCAGCAGGATGAGCTTGCTAAAACTGTTCTGAAACTGCCTTCCGGGACCTCCCTCTGCACTCCCCACCTCCAGCCCCAAGTCCAAACTGCATGCCCTGGGTAACCTGGCTCTTGGGACACCCCCACCTTATCTCTTCTGACTGCTGTCCCTGACCTCTCTGTGCTGCCTGGAGCCCACACTGCTTCACCCCCACTTTCCTTTGGGAATTACTGGGTCTTGGGTTCATGTGTCACTCCAAAAGGGGTAAGTTCTCCATCTCTGCACCCCCTCCACCCTTCCCTTAGAGGGGAGTGCCTGGAGCACCAGGCAGCCTGGAACTCTGTGGGGTACGAGATAACGGTACTTCTTCCCAGCCTTGCCTTAGTAGGCTCAGGCAGCCATAACAAGGTGCCACTGGCCAGGTGAGGTGGCTCACACCTGTAATCCCAGCACTTTGGGAGGCTGAGGCGGGTGGGTCACCTGAGGTCAGGAGTTTGAGACCAGTCTGGTCAACATGGTGAAACCCCGCTTCTACTAAAAATACAAAAATTAGACCAGTGTGGTGGCAGGTGCCTGTAATCCCAGCTACTTGGGAACCCAGGAGGTGGAGGTTGCAGTTAAGCTGAGATCACGCCACTGCACTCCAGCCTGCATGAGAGAGTAAGACTCCATCTCAAAACAAAACAAAACAAAACAAAAAAAAAACAAGGCACCACCGACTAGGGGGTGTGAACAGCAGCCTGGAGGCTGGGGGCTGAGATCACAGGTCAGCAGGGCTGGTGTCTCCTTAGGCCCCTCTCCTTGGCTTGCAGATGCTGTCTTCTCTGTGTCCTCACGTGGCCGTCCCTCGTGTGTCTATGTCCTAATTTCCTCTTCTTATGAGGACACAAGTCCTGTTGGATTAGGGCCCACCCCAATGACCTCATTTGACCTTCATGACCTCTGGAAAGCCCCTGTCTCCAACACAGACATGCAGAGGTGCTGGGGGTCAGGGCCTCAAAACAGGAATGTGAGGGGACCCAAACCAGCCCGACAATAGCCTTTGCCCATGTGCTGTCATGTAGATCCCTTCCCTTTCTGGTCACTATTTTTGGAAAGCCAGTCCAGGCAAACTCCAGGTTCTGCCTTCTCTCCCTCCCACCCAGGCCTTACCCTCAGGGTGCTGGGATATCCTGTTAAGGGTGTGGTTTGCTCATCTCCCGCTTGTTCTTGGGGGCCAGGCTTGGAATCTAGCTGAGGCAGAGCCTACCTGCTGTCCTTCTTCCTCAGATGTAAAACACCTGAATTTTAGTGGGTGCATGGCTACCCAGAGCACTCTGCCTTCCTGAGCATCCTGGCACTGGATGCACCTGATGACTTTGTTCAGGTCAACAGAGCGAGAGCAGCAGTGGCAGGCAAGCTGCCCTCTCTCTTCCCTCTTAAATGAGATAAAGACACAATGGTCGGAGCTGGTGCAGCCGCCTGGGGCCATGAGGCAGATTTGGGAACAGAGACCACTACAGCAGGGAACAGACTGAAATGAGCCTGGTCCCTGATTCCCTGTCAACCCTGGACCACTCACTTGTACTTTTACATGAAAGAAAAATAAAGCTCGGCCGGGCGCGGTGCGCGGTGGCTCACGCCTGTAATCCCAGCACTTTGGGAGGCTGAGGCGGGCGGATCACCTGAGGTTGGGAGTTCGAGACCAGCCTGACCAACATGGATAAAAATACAAAATAAAAATACAAAATTAGCTGGGCATGGTGGCGCATACCTGTAATCCCAGCTACTGGGGAGGCTGAGACAGGAGAATCGCTTGAACCCGGGAGGCAGAGGTTATGGTGAACCGAGATTGCACCATTGCACTCCAGCCTGGGCAACAAGAGCAAAACTCCATCTCAAACATAAATAAATAAATAAATACAAATTAGCCAGGCGTGGTGGTGGGCGCCTGTAATTGCAGCTACCTGGGAGGCTGAGGCAGGAGAATGGCTTGAACCGGCGAGGTGGAAGTTGCAGTGAGCTGAGATTGCGCCATTGCGCTCCAGCCTGGGTGACAGAGTGAGACTCTGTCTCAACAACACAAAAAACAGAAAAATAAAGCTCCATCTTGCTGAAGCCACTGTCACCTTGAGCTTCCTGTCACTTTGAAGGCCAAGTAGGTACTCAATAAACTTTCTTTCCAGTGCCTGGCAAGGTGAGGCGTGGGGGCTGAGCTGGGTCTGGGGCAGCAGGGACCATGCTGTGGGCCTTCAGTGCTGCGGGGAAGCCAGCTGTAACCCTGATGGACTTGTGGAGGTTCTGTCTGGTCTCCACCTCTTCTTCCTCTTGGGACTCCGGGCTGTGGGCAGACTTGCCTACCCAGAAGCTTTCTTTCTGCACAGACACAGCTACAACAGGCTAGCTCTGCCTCTGGGGAGTGACTTCGGCTAACAGACAAGTGGGGAATGACAGGCAGGTGGGCGTGACCCACAAGCTCCCCCTCTCCCAGCAGCCAGGCTCTGGCCAGCCTAGCCCCTTTTGCTCTGCCTCTACATGCCAAGTGCTGCAGAGGCAGACCCCCATACAGAGAGGCTGTGGTGGTGTCACGCGGCCTACAGGGCTGGTGCGAACATCTAATTCTGGGGTTCCGCGTTGGGAACTTCCTTGTACATCCTCAGTATGTAACTTGCGTGTGATCCTCATATATCAACTGTAGGGTAATAAAGGTGTCATGTGACCTGTCATCATCTTACCCTTCTGGTTTGTTTTTCACCTGCTCAGGTAGAAACTTGGGTGGAGAGAAGGATAAGCCATTTATTAACCCAACACCCCTAGCACTAGCTAGCACAAGTCCTAGCACCTTGGACTTGTCGGAGGTGCAGGGGCTAGAAAGGGAATGACAGAGTGCACAAGCCCTTTCTACCCCGTGCCCCCTAGGTGGTGGCCCCCAGACACACCCTCTCTGCTGGCAGTGCAGACCATCTGTCCCAATACCCTAGAGGAGAACCATCACCTAGAGGAGAGCGCCTTCTGCTCCAACTTTCTGGGCAGGTCCCAGGCTGGGGCAGCGGCGGTCCACAGAGGTTTATCAGGCCTGGCCACGCATGCGGACAGAGGATATGACTGGGATACCCTAGGGTGTGGGGAGGGTCAGCCTGGGGTCGGGGGGCATGAAGGCTGTGTTCCAGACTCCTACTGCCCCCAATCCTCTGTGCCCCGGCCGGAGCTCTCCTGGCTTCGCTGATCTGTAAGAGGCAGAGACAGACAAGCTCGAACCATATCCGTCGTGGTGTGGCGTCACTGTGCCCATTTTATCATGGCAGAAACTGGGTTCCGTAACAAGGACAACAGGCAGTGGGGGCCAGGCCTGGGTCCAATGCAGGGCTTCTCAATCCAGCCTCACTTCTCTTGGGTGCCCACGTGGCAGCGGTGGCCTTGCCACACCCCTCACTCCACGCCCTTCCTCTCAATCTCAGGGGCACTCCAGCCCCTCTTGGTTCTTTCGCCTGCAAAGAGAGATCTCCAAGATCTGTCTACTGGGCCCACCCCCAGCTCCAACCCATCTGGGAGTCACATGCTGAGGAGACCGGACCAGAGAGAGGGACTTTGTCTAGACTATCACGTGGGGCACCCAGGCTTGGCTGCCCAAAACACTGGGCGCTGGAGCTGTGGCGTTCACTTCTTGCTAACCCCCAGGCTCTCTCACCTGTGCTCATGTCTTTGGGGAGCTGCCCGGTCTCCAGGAAGAGCCAGAGGTTGCTGCATTTCTTCGACTCCACTCTCGTCACCCCATAGCTGGCCACAGAGCCTGCAACTGTGGAGCAGGAAATGGAAGGGGGCTGGGGCCTCTGTGCTTCTCAGGATAAGAGAAGTGGGCACAGGCTGCTTCCTGACAGACGGGGTGGGTGGGCTCAGGTGGGGCTCCCGCGGAGACCTGGGGCTCCATGTCAGAGTCAGGAACGCAGAACCACAGCCCCAACGCTAGCGGAAACCCACCGCTCAAAGAGCCCAGGCAGGGACCCTGGAGTACCCACCCACGGCCACTAGTAGGCTCCACTGCAAAGGGTATGGAAACTTCCTCTGAATGAACATCTGCAAGCCAAAGGCCATGCCGGTGCCTGCAAAAAGCCGAGGTCCCCATCAGCCTGTACCCGGGGCTGGCCGGGACCCACCTGGCCAGGCCCCCAGCACCTGCGGGCAGGTGACTTGGCACCCCCTGCTGGGGAGCCAGGGCGGGGCAGGAGGGTGCGTTCTCTCCCAGCCGCAGGGCACCTGGACGCAGCCTACCTGTGACGAAGGTGAAAACGCCCTTCATGAAGGCGTGTGACTGGCATGCGGCATACTCCCCGAGTCCCTGGGGTGGCAGAGCGGGGGGTCTGAAGGCTCGGTCCCCTGCCCTCTTCCTTCACCGCCTCTCCTGTCCCTTCTCTGGGCACACCCTGGTTGTGGAGGAGTGAGACCCTGGGCGCTTGGACACGTCCCACCTCCCCTATGCCCACCCGGACGCCCTGAGCCCCCTAGCAAGGGACTGGCCCCAGCCTCCGCCACTCTTCCCTGACGAGGGCACCCCCACGCCCCAGCCCCTCTGCCTCGCTCAGGTCAGCTTCTGGGATCTGAGGCCTGCGTCCCAGACCGGCCTTCTCACCGGGTGCTTGGCAGCCACGGCGTCGTCCACCCGGGACAGGCCCAAGTTCACCATGGTTGGCAGGGCTCGGGGAGGGGGCCTGCGCAAGCGCAGGCGGAGGAGCCGGGCAGGGACCTGGGGGTGTGGCCTAGAGGACAGGACTGCGCAGTTGCGGTTGGAGGGGCGGGACCAGGATCTGGGGGCGTGGAATAGGCGGAGGGGGCGGGGCCTAGGAGACGGGGCCTGGGGGCGGGCCTGCGCTGCAGCAGGCGGAGGAGACGGGAGCTGGGAGATGGATCTGGGGGCGGGACCTGGGAAACGCGACCTGGGGGCGGGGCCTGAGAGATAAAACCTGGGAGCCGGCTTGCGCAGGCGGAGGTATCGGGTTCTAAGAGGCGGGCCCTGCGCGGGGGCAGGCGGAGGGGCCAGGGCCTTGGATTGGGGGCGGAGCAAGGGTCGAGCCTGCTGGAGCGTAGGGGAGAGGGGTGGGGCCTGGGGCCTGGCCACGCCTCTAGGAGCTTGGGGCCTGTGACCTCCGGCGACGACTGGGCGGGGCGAAGGCGGGCGCCGGGCGGGGCGTGGCTGAGAGCGCGCTCTCCTTCCCCCGGCCTGGAGTCGTTCCCACACTCGCGGAAGGCTAATGATTGTCGGTGTTATTTTGCTTAAGGACTAGAATCGGGTATTGAATCTCTCATAAGCGACCATAAGGAGTGGGGATGTATAAAATTACTGTTGCCGGGCGCGGTGGCTCACGCCTGTAATCCCAGCACTTTGGGAGGCCAAGGCGGGCGGATCACGAGGTCAGGAGATCGAGACCATCCTGGCTAACACGGTGAAACCCCGTCTCTACTAAAAATGCAAGAAATTATCTGGGCCTGGCCGCGGGCGCCTGTGGTCCCCGCTACTTGGGAGGCTGAGGCAGGAGAATGGCGTGAACCCGGGAGGTGGAGCTTGCAGTAAGCCGAGATTGCGCCACTGTACTCCAGCCTGGGCGACTGAGCGAGACTCCGTCTCAAAAAAAATAAAATAAAATAAAATTACTGCTTAGCAAAGTGGTTCTGTAACCAGCAGCTTAGCAACTGAGCCTCAAACTCTTTTTTTTTTTTTTGCATGACAGTCTTTACTTTTAAATAATTATCGATACACCAAATAATAACATGTACAGTTCTTGAATTCTATCATCTAGGAATTTTGATTAAGAGAAACTAAAATCAGCCCAAACAATTCCACTAGTATTCACTGGTGTAACCATTAGCAAGAACGGAAGACTTCAAGGCAGGCTGCTGCTTCACGCAGGTTACGAATAACTATTTACTACTTTTTCATCGATAAAGCCCCTGACCTTCAAGAAAGTGTTAGGGAAAAAAATTATTTAACCCCTTCCTTTCTTCAAAGAATTACGTTTTTTTAAAAACTAGATTAAAGAAAGAAAAAGTCATCACTGATATACATGTTGCTTGAGTCAAAACGCATAGGAAAAAAGACAACATATAACCATTAAATTCCTAAGAAATATGAGGTAAAAAGATGAAATCTTGTCCGGGGGCGGTGGCTCATGCCTGTAATCCCAGCGCTTTGGGAGGCCGAGGCGGGTGGGTCACAAGATCAGGAGTTCAAGACCAGCCTGGCCAAGATGGTGAAACCCCATCTCTACTAAAAATACAAAAATTAGCTGGACGTGGTGGCAGGTGCCTGTAATCCCTGCTACTCGGGAAGCTGAGACAGGAGAATCACTTGAACCTGCGAGGTAGAGGTTGCAGGGAGCCAAGATCGTGCCACTGCACTCCAGCCTGGGCGACAGAGTGAGACTCTGTCTCCAAAAAAAAAAAAAAAGGCTGAAATCTTTAGATAATTTCTAAGTCTGTACGAAAAAGCTAGATTTGCTACTCTCCAGAAAGTGGAAGGACCTACTCTATAATATATGGAAATAAGGCCGGGCGCGGTGGCTTAAGCCTGTAATCCCAGCACTTTAGGAGGCCAAGACTGGCGGATCATGAGGTCAGGAGATCGAGACCATCCTGGCTAACCCGGTGAAACCCCGTCTCTACTAAAAAATACAAAAAAACTAGCCGGGCGAGGTGGCGGGCGCCTGTAGTCTCAGCTACTCGGGAGGCTGAGGCAGGAGAATGGTGTGAACCTGGGAGGCGGAGCTTGCAGTGAGCCAGGATCTGGCCACTGCACTCCAGCCTGGGCGACAGTGCCAGACTCCGTCTCAAAAAAAAAAAAAAAAATGTGTTTGCAGGCAGTATGCTTGGTAAAAGTCATCGCCATTCTCCATTCTCAATTACCCAGGGACACAACGCACTGTGGAAAGCCACAGGGACCCCTGCCCAAGAAAGCCTGGGTATTGTCTAGGTTTCCCCACACTGAGACAGCCTGAGATATGGCCTTGTGGGTGTGGGGAAAATAAACAGAGATCAGACTGTTATTGTGTCTATGTAGAAAGAGGTAGACATAAGAGACTCCATTTTGTTCTGTGTTAAGGAAAATTCTTCTGCCTTGAGATGCTGTTAATCTGTAACCCTAGTCCCAACCCTGTGCTCGCAGAGACACGTGCTGTGTTGACTCAAGGTTTAATGGATTTAGGGCTATGCAGGATGTGCTTTGTTAAACAAGTGCTTGAAGGCAGTATGCTTGTTAAAAGTCATCACCACTCTCTAATCTCAAGTACCCAGGGACACAATATACTGTGGAAGGCCGAAGGCCGCAGGGACCTCTGCCTAGGAAAGCCAGGTATTGTCCAAGGTTTCTCCCCATGTGATAGTCTGAGATATGGCCTCATGGGAAGGGAAAGTCCTGACTGTCCCCCAGACCGACACACCGACACCGACACACCGACACCGACACCGGAAAGGGTTTGTGCTGAGGAGGATGAGTGAAAGAGGAAGGCCTCTTTGCAGTTGAGATAAGAGGAAGGCATCTCTCGCCCGCTCATCCCTAGGAATGGAATGTCTTGGTGTAAAGCCCAATCGTACATTCTATTTATTGAGATAGGAGAAAACCGCCCCGTGGCTGGAGGTGAGACAGGCTGGTGACAATATGGCTCTCCTACTCTTTACTGCACTGAGATGTTTGTGTAAAGTCAGACATAAATCTGTCCTACGTGCACATCCAGGCACAGCACCTTTCCTTAAACGTATGACACAGATTCCTTTGCTCACATGTTTCCTGCTGACCCTCTCCCCACCGTTACCCTGTGGTCCTGCCATGTCCCCCTCACTGAGATAGTAGAGATAGTGATCAATAAATACGGAGGAACTCAGAGACAAGCACTGGTGCAGAAGCTCGCTTGCTGAGCGCCGGTTCCCTGGGCCCACTTTTCTTCCTGTATACTTTGTCTCTGTGTCCTATTTCCTTTTCTCAGTCTCTCGTCTCCACCTTGTGAGAAATACCCACAGGTGTGGAGGGGCAGGTCCCCTTCATCTGGCACTCATCGTGGGTTCCCTTCTCTAAGGTGAAGATATGCTACAGCGTGATCGTTGAGGACAAAGCAACGAGAGGTTACCGAGGACGTCCACGGTCAGCCTTGCGGTAAGCTTGTGTGCTCAGAGAACCCAGGGTAACAATGGGACAAACTGACGGTAAATATGCCTCTTATCTCAGCTTCATTAAAATTATTTTAATAAGAGGGGGAATTAGAGCCTCTACAGAAAATCTAATTACGTTATTTCAAACAATAGAACAATTCTGCCCATGGTTTCCAGAACAAGGAACTTTAGATCTAAAAGATTGGGGAAAAAATTGGCAAAGAATTAAAACAAGCAAATAGGGAAGGTAAAATCCATCCCACTTACAGTATGGAATGACTGGGCCATTATTAAAGCAGCTTTAGAACCGTTTCAAACAGAAGATAGCATTTCAGTTTCTGATGCCCCTGAAAACTGTGTAATAGATTGTGAAGGACAGGCAGGGACAGAATTCGAGAACGGAACGGAAAGTTCACATTGTGAATATGTAGTGGAGTCTGTAATGGCTCGGTCAACGCGAAATGTTGGCTACACTCAATTACGGGAGGTAATATATTCTGAACCATTAAAATTGGGGAGAAAAGGTACAGAATTATTGGGGCCATCAGAGTCTAAACCACGATGGCCAACTCCTCCTTCTGCGGTTTCAGATGCCCGTAACATTAGAACCTCAAATGCAGGTTAGACAAGTACAAACCCCAGGAGAATATCAAATAGAAAAGTTTAGAGCCTATCCCGGCAATGCCAATCCAGACACAGGATCCAGAATATCAGCCGGTAGAAAATAAGACCCAACCGCCGGTAGCCTATCAATACTGGCCGCCAGCCGAACTTCGGTACCGGCTGCCCCCAGAAAATCAGTAGGGACAGCCAGGAAGGTTCCCAGCACCCCAGGGCAGGGCGCTACAGCCGCAGCCGCCCACTATGAGACTTAATCCTACAACACCACCTAGTGGACAGGATATGCATTACATACAATTATTGAAAAGAAGAAAACAAGGAGATATGGAGGCGTGGCAGTTCCTGGTAATACTACAGTCCATATCGCCTGGAAAAGGGGCCCAAGAGGGAGTACCTCCCTGAGCTGATGCCAGATATGAATCCTTTTCTGTGAAAATGCTAAAAGACATGAAAGAGGGCGTAAAACAGTATGGACCCAACTCCCCTTACATGAGAACATTGTTGGATTCCACTGCTCATGGAAATAGACTTATTCCTTATGGTTGGGAAATTTTGGCCAAATCATCACTTTCACCGTCTCAATTTTTATAATTTAAGACCTGGTGGGTTGATGGGGCACAAGAACAGGTTCAAAAATTAGGGCCGCCAATCCTCCAGTTAACATAGAGGCAGATCAACTCTTAGGAACAGGTCAAAACTGGAGCACTATTAATCAACAAGCAGTAATGCAAAATGAGGCCATTGAGCAAGTTAGAGCTATCTGCCTTAGGGCCTGGGAAAAAATCCAAGACCCAGGAACCGCCTGCCCCTCGTTCAATACAATAAGACGAGACTCTAAAGAGCCCTACCCTGATTTTGTGGCAAGACTCCAAGATGCTGCTCAAAAGTCAATTGCCAATGAGAATGCCTGTAAGGTCATAGTGGAGTTGATGGTGTACGAAAATGCCAATCCTGATTGTCAATCAGCCATTAAGCCATTAAAAGGGAAGATCCCGGCAGGGTCAGATGTAATCTCAGAGTACATCAAA